GTCTAYGTAAGGCTGACACCAGTCGACAGATCCTTGTGACAAAAAGCATAAAGTGACCATCCTTATGCTCTTTGACAAGTCTTTGAAAGTTGCTTTAATATGCTGTTTTATACAGACAGATAGCATACCTTGATCCGTGGTGATGCAGCTACAGGCATGGTTTCCCTTTCAGGTAAATGGCAGTAAGCCCTCTGGTCAGAGTGGGTGAGCTCCTGGTTCCCTTGGCAGTTCAGACCAAAATCTTTGCTAACTGGCAACCAATCTACATTTAACTGCAGAGAAAAATAAGTACCAGAGACTTTCCTCCTCCCTCCTGTGAATGTTCCAGCCTGGGGATGGTGAAATGCTATCTTTAGACTTTGTGCAAGCCTGATGTAATGCTCAAGGTCACTTCCTTCATCTATGGGAAAAAACCACTACTCATTTTCCTATATCATTAGGAATCCTTCCTAAGTCTACCCCAAAGAAACTTGCTTATGCATACAGGGTCTCAAGATGAGAAGGGTTAWACAGATGGACGTCTTTCCCAGTATGCTTCTGGTAGCTCTCAAATATTCTAAGCTACAAGTCTCAGATACTTTGGTTCCAGGACAGTAGTAAAGTAGGACCTAGAAACTGTTTTAGAAGTGTCAGTTGCCTCATTATGTTTACAGTCTAATGTGAAAAGTAAATGATGTGAAAATGATGTCAGGGTGTTTCCATGCTCGTTGCTGTCTCAGAGGGCAGTGGAAGTGGGAATTTAGAGCCTTTGAAAATTGGCCTTYGCACATAAGCACCCTGCCAGTTCCCTGATGAAGCTTCTTGTGGTTATTGTAGGTTGGATGTCATTGCAGCCAGACCTAAAACGGAATTGAAATTTTAAACAATGTTAGTCCCAATTTAGCAATGTTCTTAAACATTTCCATWACTTTAGCACATGGGTTACCTCATGGAATTTATTTAAACATAACTATCTATGTGCATAGTAGGAGATCTTAAGTTTCATTTTATCTCAGAAACTGGACGGTAAATGTGGAACAGTGCTAAGTGATGGAAAATTATTGGTGATGGGTCAAGTTGCATCCCCTGCTGGTTTTTAAGAGTGTATGTGTGCATGTATAATTATAAATCACAAATCAAAATGTCTTAGCTCTAAGTGCTCGTATCTTATGTCAAACTGGATCATGAATGCATCTCATGACATGGCTGAGACATGAAAGCATTTCTGGAGATGTTATCTAAGTGACAGTTGTGCTTTCACTTTATTTGCTAATTACGCTTCTTGATATACTATACTTTCTAAATAGCCTTGTTGAAAGCAATGCTAAGTTTGTTCTTTTTCTTGCTATAGTCTTACAGTCAACACCTTTCAARTTTCATATCCAACAAATAAACCAAGATCTGCCTTTAGCAGGACACAATCTAATGAAATGCATTAGTCTTGGCTTCTTATGTAAAGGACAGCATTAAAGAGATGGTTAGTGTTTCCCTCAGAAAGAGAGGCAAAAATTATCTTTAGTTACTGAGTAGCAGAAGGCCTGGTAGACATTATGGTATCAATCCAGTATGTCTTAGTTGGATTGCATCAACAAGCTACAAAAGAAATAAGAGTTTCCTCCCGCTATCACCCTCTAAAGTCTTTCCATCTCCACCATCTGGAATCAGACTTTCAAGGCCTTGATTCACTGGACCTTCATGAGCCTCTTTGTTCTGTAGCTCAAGAAGCTTCTTACAACCCAGTGAAGAAGCACGTCTTCTCCTTGTGGCCGAGGACGCCTGCTAGAGGCGAGAGCTTTCTGGCAGCCAAGCCCCCCTGACAATGCCTCAGCAGAGCACCATATTAGGCAATGGTGCTGTCAAGAATGGCATTTGGGACTCCAGYGAGCATGCCTCCTGGGGAAGGCACACAACAGTGAGCTGCTGGTTGAGAGCACGGAGCTCTTTCCTGGCTGACAAGGCTTCGCCAGAGGTCAGCCAGAGAGGGCTGTCATTCTTCAGGGAGGTGGAAACTACTCGGTGCTATTAATGGGTTTTTCCTGGCTGTCCTCAGGAATGGAATTGTAAGCCAAGCATGACCATGAAAGGGGTCTCACATGGCCAAAAGATTACCCTAAAGTATCTCCCACGTTTCTGCCACCCCCAGTGCCTGAAACTCTCTCCCTTTCCTTTTGCCTCCTGTTCCATACCATACTGTGGGTCTCTCCCCTCAGCCCAGCTCTCGTTGTCCCAGCATTTGCTGCACAGCTTGAGTTGCAGTTTAGGAAAAGAAAATACAGATTTCTTTAAGGGACTGGCTTCAGGCACCATCCTTTGTGTGTAAGAGATTGAGCTTAGACTATGCTGCTAGTGTTTTAGGCCTGGTCTACACAGTAGATTTTGGCTACCCATTGTGCCTAGTGCTACGCCAAGACTGTAAATCTGTGTGATTTCTGACCAATAAAATCATGGAATCAGAAATCATGTGTATTCACAAAACTGCACTGTGACCAAGGTATCTGATTTTGGTCATGAGGGGTGACTATACTCCACCTCTGCAAAGCACAGCTTTGTGGAGTAGCTAGATCTAAGTCATGAGTGTGTACTGTACTGATTTATACCAGCAAAAAGGTTTCTAGGAGAAACGCTGATTTACTTATAGTGCAAACTACTAAAGACAGTGACTTTTCTCTACTTCATTGCATAAATTACCCTGCTGTCTTCAATAATAATCACACCTTAAGCATGATTTCTCTGAAAGTGTGGTAAAACTTTCTGCAAAATAAGACATACRACTTACCTGAATTTGAACAGAACCCAAGGGTGTGCCTAATTTATGTAGGACTGTGTTCACATACACCAAACTAGTCTTATTATTTGTTAGTAATCTGTAGGGACACAAATGGGCAATGTTTTACAAAATAATCAATGCACGAATTAATATAAGTGAAAATAATTAAAAATGCAGCTACTTCAAGGATACAGGAAGCCATGAAAAAACTTTGAAAATTAAATTAAAAGTTCAAGGCCAGTCCCTTCAGAAGCTCATAACCTTTATTCCAGGTCTGGACAGTGCTAAGAGAGGTGAACTTTTATATACATACACATATATATRTGTGTGTATGTATGTATATATACATATAAATTTCCATTTTTTTTTTCTAGTGAGCCAGGGTCTTCTGTGCCACAGACGTATTGTCAGCAGAAGCAGCTAGAAATTTTGTGGATGAGGGCAGATGTTGCAAGAAATACTTTTTTTCTCTTTGGATATTATCCACCTCTGATTTAGGCAAATTTATTTGTTTAGATTAAAACATGATTCACAGGGTTGTTAACTGAGGTAGGGTTGTGACTGGAGATCACAACCAGCAAAAAAGCAAATTACTAATTAAATTACATTTAATTACTAACGTACTAAGTTTTAAAGCAAAACTTAGTACGTTAGTAATTAAAGCAGAAAAATAAATCGGTGTGAATCTGAGGAAAACTATCTTATTATAATTGGAACATGTATATGCTAGTCTTTAATATACATTTTCTCTTGCTTCCTGCATGATAGGTACTCAGTACTGCAAGTTCTGAACTCTTTCCCTGTGGCCATATATCTCTGTACATTCTCTTCACTGATTTGTTAAAGCGTCTACATATGTACCTGAAAGTTCCTAAATGATATCAAGTTTACACACTTGGCTTAAAATTATCTTTGTATTTAAAGTATCCCTCCCTTTTAAATGTTAAATGAATTTATTAAGAATGGGAAGCATGTTTTTTAGTTATATTTAGACCTGAGGGCAAAGGAGTAACCTTACTAGCATTTCTGTGTGACAGACATTGAATCTTTATTTCCTGAATATGTCCTGAGATGAGGTTCCAAAGGTTAATACCCATAACATGACAGGGGTTAGTGTCAGCCATCTACTATTACAGTTAAAAATTTTAACCTTTTAAATCTTTGCTTGTTGAAAGTAATTGAGCTATAAGATGATGCACTATCTCTGATAAGTACTCCTATTTTCAACCAGTCATGAATCCTCACACTGTTATATTTTCACAATAAATTTCCTTTAATTATTTTAAAAGTGAATTTTATCAAGTTAATATGATTTTATATTTTTATATAAGAGTATGGCTTATCTAAAAGAATTTTTTTATATCAGGCATATAATCTGTTTTTTATATCACACATCCATCCTATGTTTATGAACCTCCTTAGTTAATGTATTCATTACACTTCACAATTAAAGTCATATTCCGGTTGAAGGAAAATTTGCTCAAACACTGGATATCATCTGACAAAAGTGTATCAGTGATGATGTTGCTTTTGTAAGTGGTACACTTGAATATAGGCTCAAGAATATTTAATTTAAACAAATCAAACACAAACTTGAAATTCAGCGTGGATTCTATGGTATATAAATACTCTCCTAATCAGAATTGCTAAAATGTTTCAAAATGTATCAAGGTCTTTCTGTAGAAATTAATTTGGAAACTTGCAGATTAGATGAGTATACTGTCCTAAACCATATGCATTTTGATTAAAGTAAATCAAAATACAGAGATGACAACTGAAATGTGAAATAAGGAAGAGCACAGAATCACAGAAATATTAGTTCAAGATGGGAGCTCTGGAGGTCTCTAGTTCTAGCTTCCTACTCAAAGACAAACTTCTGCCATCACAAGATGAGGTTGACCATGACTTTGCTTTTGTTTGTTTTGTTTGTTTGCTTCTTTTAAAACTATGAAGTGTGGGTATTCATTCTGTCTCTGGGTAAGCTGTTACAGAGCTGCATTACTCTCGGAGTGAATTTTTTTCCTTAATGAAAGTCCTAAAGTGTGCTTTGTGGCCATTGCCTGTTTTCATATAGTCAGGTTAAACCAAGGACTGTTTAGAGTCCTTCTGGTTTCTAACTGTCTTTCAGGAAGGTCTAAGCAGCAAATTGAATAATCCAAACTGTGTACAAATTCAACCGCCATACACCAAATATGTGAAAAAAACCCTGCTTTTCTTGAAGCTCAATAGTTTTTTTCTTTCCTCATTTTTTCAGASACTGAAGCTGAAAATGCACCACCGCCTCCAGGTCAGTGTAAAATACGCTAATTAGCTCCGCAAGACTAACAAGAGTATTGCATGGGCAGAGCACTGCATTTGTCTTCACTGTGCCTGTGACAGTGAAGGGGTGATAAAATGCTATGCCTGCACTTCACCTGAAAACTGCTCATTTCTTAGACAAGTTTTGTTCGGAAGAGCCTTGTTGTTTCTCTGATAATGCAAATGTCTTTTAGGATGCAAAAAAAAATTATGGCTGCATACACTCTGGTTAAATTATGCTGTCTTCTTTGATGCTAAACAGAATCTAACTACCAAAGTATTCCATGTCATTTGTCATTGAAAGTAAACTGTGAGTGAAGATGACCGAATGAAGCATGGGATATATCTCAACTAATTTTAGCCGTATGAAAATTATGTGCCTTTCCTAAGTTGGTCAATAATGTTCCATCTGTAAGCAATGGAGCAGATCCTGTTATCATATCTGCTCATCCCATAAGTGTTTCCCAGATAACTTAAGGTATCTAAAATGTCACTAGATGTTTAGGCAATTACCCCAAGGAATCTGGCTGGCTACTTTGGTCTCTAGTTTGGTCTGAGTGAGTAACTCAGGAAGCTGAAGTTAAGTGAGGTGAAACTCATGCACTGCCCAGGGCTTCAGGTAACGCTGAAACTCTGCAAAGCCGTTACCTTTTCTGCAGAGTGACCTGGAAAGGTAGGAAAGTCTTTGTATTATTGGCTTGTTTTGTATTGAGTTATATTTTCAGGTGGTAATGAGTAAGTATATTGGTAATTTAACCTCCTGCTGAGTTTTATTCTCAACATAGCTACCAAAACAGCTATGCCATACAGAATAACTATTGTCCAGGTCACATTTTAAACCTCCATTTAGTTGTAGTCTTGCAAATTGACACTTCTCAAGAATGGTTTGAGATATTTTTAAGTAATATTTTTACTCTGTCTGAAAAAAAAAAAAAAAAGAAATAGAAGGCTGAAGTCAGTGATAGCATCTGTCACAAGGATTTCCAGGTTTAAATACCCTATATATTATTTGAGAGATTAGAATGTACTTTTTCATTTTGTGTATATTTACAGGGAAAGTTAATCAGTACTTAATTCATCGGGATTCATGTATTTTGCTCAATAGTAAAATCTGTGCAGTTGATGTTAAATTAATAACAAAAGATTCATGCTGAGCTTCTTATTTGATGTACTTCTTAACTGAGTGTATGTTTTTCATCAGTCCTAATCAACAAGTTAGGACTTGTACAGGACTGAATTGACAAACTGTTTTCATAGGCAGAAAGGAATGTAATTTTGATGCATTACATCCAAAAGTACATTGTCAAATATATAACAGCTTCTTTGTCTTTATTTAAAAACAGAGAATCAAATATGAAATCACTCTTTTAACCCCATTACCTTTCCCCACACCTCTTCTTCTTAATTCTGTAAGTCTTCTGTAAAACAAGTGAATTGTGAGTAGACTTTGTAGGTTAGGAATAGACCAAACAGGATATTGCTAAATGGAAAATGTCAGTCACTAAGGAGGTCCTTCTCCCAGCTCCATTCTGCTTAAATCATGTCTCAAATTATCAAGAGTTAATGTTAGAAAGAGGGAAGTTAGTTGTTTAAATATGCAAATACTAAACATGTAGTTTGTTAGACATAATCAGAATCTTGATTCCTGTACCAGGAAATACTGGGGAAACCATTGTAAGAGCGCCTTCTACATCTCACTGTCAGGAATCAGGCTGGTAAACTCAACCTTGAATGAAGTTTTAAGTGGGATTTAGGCATGCTGCCATCTTCCAAGAACAGGGAACTACTAAATCCCAGTTCCTAGTGAGAAAGGAATGTGTTACTGTAACTCTTGGAGATTTTGAATTTGTTGAGAGGATTGTCTGACAGATGCTCCATCGGGGCTTCCTTGGAAGACTAGACAAGACAGCAGTTCTACTAATCAAGTAAACTGAAACCATATAGCCTAGGAAAACTGATGACGAATCAAGAACACCCGCAATACACTTTTCCTGCGCTTTATCTCATTCTAAGTGTAAATTGACAAGCATGATTGAGYTCTGAATAGAGTCAGCATGTGGCACTATCTCATGTGTGATCCAAGCTCACTGAAAAGATATTTGGAGTCATTTCAACAGCTTTTGTATAGGATCCCWTCTAAACAAACCATCGTTTTGCTTCCATGAAATGTAGAAATGCAGCATTTTATGAAATCACAATTTAATGTTATATGTCTATATCTCAATAATTCTTTAATCATATTTTTTCAATACAAACAGAACCTAGAATCTTGCTGTATTTTTAATGCTGTATAAGTTTTTCTTTTTATTTTAAGATCCTTTCAAAAATATACTTGTACTTCCTACACAGAACAAAAAGCACCACAAGACGATGGAACTGAAAAGGGAAAAGGTGAGTTTGAAATTGTATTTCAGAAAATGGCAGTAAATAGAACACTTCTAAATGCTGCTCTGATGCTAGATTGCTTGAGCTTTAATCAGAATTTTGGTGCACCAAATTTCAGAAGTATGATAGGAAGCTTCATGGTTTGTTTGTTTTTCTGCATGACTTGCCCAGCAGAAGGAAATTATGATACTTCTGAGTATCTTCAAAAGTTCTGTGACCAAGGCTGTTGCTTTTTAGCAATAGTGATTACGTAGATTGTTTTCTTAATAGATGAGATTTCAAAAGATTTGCATGAGCAGAAAGCTTTCTTTAACTGAGTCTTTATGTTGTCATCGACCAAAGTTGATAGAACACAGATAGTGTCTCTATGAGTACTCCTAAATAAAGGGGGCAATCTCCTGTTATCATCCTAAGCTGTTTTCTTTCTGCCTCAGAAATTTGATATTTTTGTATGTTCTACTTTTGCAGAAAAATCCAATAGATTTTACACAGTCCTCTAATAACAAATCATTTTTTAATCTATCATCACAGAGGGACCAGTAGTTGAATTCATATGTAACTTCTGAAAATGTCTTTTAGCACTGTTTGCTGTGAACAAATACTTAAAGACTACACTAACAATGCACCTAAAACACAGCTACACTTTGAATATATATATATATTACTATTTTCTATTTTTACTGTTTTCCAAGTTAAAGAAAAAGGAATTTGAGGGACCTAGGCAAAATTAGACTACTTTTTATACTTCATGCATAAACAGATTTCAAAAAACTCAGCAGCTCATTTTGAAATGAATAATAAATTATTTTTCACTCTGATAAAAGGCTAAACGAGACCAAAATACGCTTACAATCGATGCAAGGCTTGTTAATTTATTTGGCACGGTTATGCTTTTTATGGCAAATCAAGACATGGCTTGCTTGAAGATAYATTCTGGCTTGCTTTGGCTCTTCTAGATAAAATATTGCCTTTATGTAGACAGGATACATACCTGCAGATTYATATGGCAGTGGTGTGCATGGCCATTTTTGTCAAGAAAGGAAAAAGCAAGAATGCCAAGAGTGTGTTATTAAGTTATGAAGTATAAAAAAATGCTGAACTAGGCTTCAGTGCATGCTATTATGCTACCCTTGCATTGATCAATTATTCTGACACACAAATGCTGTGTGAGTACTCAAATATGTCTTCTTGATGTGTTGGCAAACACAATTCAGGAATAACTTGCATGCCTGATGGTAGGGAAAATGTTGAAGGTGTTTCCTCAAGCTCTTCCAGCAATTATTTTTACCTTAATTTTGACATAAGAGCAGTTTGTTTCTGAAGCAAACATGAATAGCACTCTCCCCGATCTTATAAGTCCAGATTTTACTGAGTTAAAAAGAAAACATGGTAGGTATCTCACCAAGTATTTTATTTTAGATATCATTATAGTGTTTCCATTCTGAACACACYTACTTCCTAGAGGCAAAAAAAACTTGTTCAGAGCTGATCCATTTGTTTCTACCTTGAAGGATTTTACTATCTAAAAAATTGGAGGATATTCTAATATACAAATCAGAATGGGAAGTATGTTTGGTTTTCTTTCACGTCAGCAGCCACCTGAGTAAAATTTCCAGTGAAAAACTGAATACCAACCTGTTTTGTTGCATAGTATCACCATGTAAGGTTAAAYACATTTTCTTAGCAGCAGTTTCTTGATTGCTTTATATTTATGTGTTAGAAAAGAATTTTTATAATGGCAAGTTATGCTTGCCATTTTATAACATCTAGTGTTATACACAAAATAAGAAAAGGTTCCATTTTTCCCATTGGTATCATTTACTCAGTTTACTAGGGAAATGAGGAGAGAACCAGCTACAGGCTAGATTTTGTATAAATTATTTATAAAATGGCTTCTTTTGTTTCGGAAGTAACAGAATTGGGGACTTCCATCAGCAAGGAAGAGATGAGAAAGATTTTGTGTCCAAGCACAGTGATTATAAGTGATTAGTGATTCTAAGATATCTCTGTGTTAGTGCTTGTGACTTCTTTGCTGGTAATTGTACAAAATAGATCATTATAGTTATCTGGGGCAGCAGTGCTCAGATGTAGGAAAGAAACCTTGGTCCAGGCAGCTCATCTAACTTCTATAAGTTAGTGGTAGCAGAAATAAGGAAGGTAAAGTATACCAATCTGTTTGTCTGTGTTACTATTTTATTTCTTTAGAGTAGTCACTGTSTATGTGAAATTTATTTATGTCTATGTTCACTATAAAGCTAAGAAACGGATGACAGAGTGATAAATTACTTATCTTACAGTTCTTTTTCTGTAAATCTCCAGTCTAGAGCAGGAAAAATAATTTTTATTTTATACAGTAATCTTTTATAACATTTCTAGTTTCAAAGAAATCTCAAGTAATTTAGTAAAAATTTTAGAATACATTTGAGTATTCATTCTTTTTTTCAGCAGAAAAAGTGACTCAGATGAAATCCTACCAAATTTACTGTTATCCCAAACAGATTAATTTTATATTTTCCTGTCTTTGTCTTTTTAATGCTAGCAGTGTCTTATACACTGAATATGTTATCATCATGTTCCTYAATGCTGGAATAATTGAAATTTAATTTGCTCATTCCTTTTTTAGGTTCCACCCAGGCACTCAGAGAGCTACTAAAATTTGTGCATGTTTTACTGATACTTTTTCTCTAGGTTTCATYCAGCCATCTACTAAAATGTTTGCATGTTTCATCCTTGTATTTTCTCCAGGTTTCACTTATCCATTCATCTCTCTACTACATTGTATTTATGTGCTTTAATTAGGATTTCCAAAGTGCCTAGTCCCTTGATGGGACTGCTGAATACTCTTTGAAAATCAGGTATGTTATTGAAGGCACATAGATTTCAACCTCTTAGTCTACAGAAGGCTTAAAATGTGTTCAATAATGTCAGAATAAAATGAAATTATTCAACCAGTGTATTGAGTTACTCTGTATTAAATACCTTGAAAACAAGGGTTCACTTTTTGCAGCCCATACCTGCCTCCTGTCCTAGTCAAACCTGAATTCTTATTCKTAGGTGCAGTAGCATTGGTACATTAAAGTACTCTGAACTCAACTGCAGCTGAAAACAATGATTCTGCCCTAATCACCACTCCTCCCTACCTATATATTTCTCCTGTCTCCCTCATGCAAGTTCCCATGCATATCAGCAAGTGSGAGCAGGGAGAAGCCACCAAGATTAATTGGTATACTGGCTTTTTTCTCATTAAGTCAAATGTGAGATGCTACTCCAGTGGAGTACATTGCAAAATTTGTCTCACTCTGTGGCAGCAGTGCTTTGTTGGTGATGTGTGGTTCTTGATGTTCTTGAATGTAGTTGAAAAAAAGAAAAAAAAGGAAGAAAAGAAAAATAGAATTTTACTATTATTTTTCACTTCTGTAAAATGTTACATTTATCAGCATGGCCTGTGATGGCAGAATCAGTTTCCATTTTTCTGTGGTTGATTTCAAAATAGAGAAAACAAAAGGTCTAAATTTCTTAATATCAGTAGTTCTTATGAAGCAATAATTCTTCTGCAGTTTTTCAATGCTGGTGCTGCCTCAACAGTCACGTTTGTTATTTCTGTGGAAACACTTTTCATATTTATTTAAAAGTTAATATTGCCCAGGAAGACTAGGACATAAGGAGTAATGGAACGATACACATGTCAAAATAATCCTGCCATCATTTATGTTTTTTGCATACTCTTTCCATTCAGCTGTACATTCATTTTGAAATATCTGAATATTCTGAAATATCCAGTGTATTTGATGCAAATATTTTGTTTGAAAAATGTCAGATTACAATGACAAAAAACCAGTGATCCTTCTGCAAAACAGAACCCCCTTTTTTGTTGTTGTTGTTTTAGTGTTTCAAATCTTTAAAGAAAATGAAAATGAACTAGACTAATCTGTTAATAATATTATGCAGCATCRAGTAGCGTGCATCACTTCAAACATTTTACACTGCTTGGTATTATTTGTTTTTGACCAGCGAGGACAATATTCTGAACCTCTTCAAACTCATCACAACCACAGCAGCAGTTAACAAAAAGACATTAACACTTAATTCAATATTTTCATCAATTATGCAACCAAATTTCTAGTGGTATTTAGTCTTGCATTCCCTTAGTTTTTACTCCAATATGTTAAAACATCTGATATGATTTTATCATTATGATGCTTTCACTGAAAATCAACATCTTCAGTCTCTGCTGATGCCAGTGAAGATGATGCAGGTGGTGAGAATTTTCATACTCAAAGTATTCTTCACTTTTGTAACTATGAATAAGAAATTATTTTTGCAAGGTAACAGATTAATCCTTCATAGGCCATTAATCTTTCATAGGCCTGCCCTATACAACTGCCATCCTGTTCCCAAAGTTGTTTTAAAAAAAAAATTCAATAAAACCTTAAAAAGGAATGAGTAAAATGTTATGACTAAGTAGTTGAATTCTATTATCAGCCATTCAGTTTACCATCAATAGTTGAACAAGCATAAAAAAAATATGACTAGAATAAGAAATATATATGATTTAGCCATAGCTATTACATGTCTCCTTGAGGAAATAGAAGCAGATTTTAAAAAAGGACAAAATCAAAGGATAACTTCAGAGTTAATATTTTATTTTGAAATCCTGATCTTAAATCAGGATGAAATTTTTAATGTTTTTATGACACCAAAACATTTGGTCTGTTTTCATCAGAAAATGACATATTCAAGATTTTTGAGATTTGGGCATTATCTAAAATTCAATGAGAGTTAGGAGACTGATGTAAATATTGTTTTTATCATTCTGATTTTCTAATAACTATGATTGCGTTTTTTCAAGTTTAAAGTGAGTTTCATGTTTTTCAGGCTTTTTTTCTTTTTTTAAATAAATAAATATAAATCATTGTACTATGTAAGATTCCACATTTCATAATTCCTGGATAGCAACTACTCTTAGTGACTTAATGACTGATGACGGACAACATTTTGTGTGATTAGGAGGAAGATCCAGTGTGATGATAATAATTCAGTCAGTTATTTAAAATTCTTGACTTGCATATGGGAGAAAATTGAGTTGTTTGCATCTTGCATTTCAGATTAATCTTCCAATACAGCAATTACATAGTATAAATATAGCAGAGTATTTTTAACTGTTTTTATATCTTGATTTAATGATGCTGAATGCATACATGGTGCCCATTTTAATTGCAGACATGAACATCAAAGAAATGGCATCCTCCTCAGAAGGTCAGATGTGTGGTTGACCTTGATTTCATTGTGGCTTTTTTTGTATTTACTGTGGATTACATCTCTAACAAACAGAATCACTCAGCAACTTTCATATAAACTCATATTTTAATAATAGATCACGGTTCACATCTCATTTTTTTGTACTTGCTTGAAACATTAAGGTTTACCATTTCAGCTACTGAATTACACAAAGCTTTCTTCATCAGTTTGAAGTTTCCATTGTGAGTGTTCCTGATTATTATGATTCTTCCCTTTCTTTTGCAGGTTTTTGTATTTTCATGTAGTTGTTTTAAAGCAGATGATCCCCTGTGCTTTCCTTTTCTTTATGTGGTTTCTTATTGTATTTCTTTCCACAGATGAAGATGACACTTCAGTTAGTACTCCACCAGCAGGTTAGGAGTGTGGAAGTACTTATGTGTGTATGTATGTATGTATTTTTCTMTGACCAATTAACCAAGAAAGAGAACAAACCTCTGGACTGCTCTCAAAACAGGCTTTTTAGAGAAAATGATTTTAAGGTGCTGCACATTCGATTAATCTCTGTTCAGAAGTATCAGACCTTCATACCAGATGAGTTCTTTTCAGGTCCTGCTTTGAGATCTCCAGTATAACTTCTGCATTGGAAGGTAATAATATATCACCTGGCATCTAAAAGCAACTCATCCATTCCGATTGACATTTGGGGAGTGCATTTTAAGGTTATTGCTGAGAGCAAATTTCAGAGTAACAAACCAAACAGATGCCTTGTGATTTCAAAACAGTTTTCTCCACAAGTCTCCATCTCTTCACCTTAGTCCCTGTACCCCACAAGGCAGCTAGAAGATGGGAAATTTGAATGTTATCTCTCCACAGCTTCGCTCAGCTGGCAGATAAAACACCTTTAGCTGTTAGCACAAAAACAAAAGCAACAGCAAAGGAGTCCTTCACAGCAGATGCGCCACAGAAAAACTCGGCATTTCCAGAAGTTGCCAAGCATGGTATTTGCTAATTCCCTTTTAAGAATATTAGACCGTGAATGAACAGAGGTTTTGAATACAAGGCTTTGCTGTGTGTCAAACAAAATATATATTTCGAATCATCATCATGGCCTTAAATGATTCTTGAACCGTTCAAAAAGAATTGGGCTGAATTCTCTCAGTGGCAGCACAGTGGTTTACACTACCACAAGACTTCATTGGTAAATACTAAAAATGTAAATAACATTTTAAATCAAAACCCCTAGCATTTCATTTTAATTTCATTTTATCAGGATTTTGTTCAACTGTGATAAATAAATAGGATGTTTAGAAAATCTAAAATACTATCCTTTCCAATAAATAGCGGCTTACATAAAATCATCTGTTATCTCAAACTACACAAATTATGGGAAAAAATGTTATCTTTATTAATGTCTTCTAAGTATGAGAAGGAGGTATAAAGGAAAGCATGGGTGGGAATTGAGCTAAACAAATAATAGCTTTTCTAGATGGAATGGGAAAAAAGGGTTTTTTTTTTTTTTTTGTATGTTGTTCACTTCTTTTTTTCTAGTATGCAAATATTTCCTCATGAGTATGGTCCTAAATATTAATTCTAATCCTCTTGCATGAATCGTTAATGTTCTTAAAAAGACAGTGTTGTGAGGTCAGCTAAACCGTGATCTCTGAASCAGTGTCATCTAAATTGCTCTTCCCTTTCAGATGGTCCCTCTAAACCATCGGAAAGAAAAGATTCAGGTGAGACTTCCTGAAGAACCTGCTGACACACTCCAATTTTACATAATGCAATTATATATTCATTTGATTCTAATTTCACTTTTCATACAGCATCAGACATTAATTTTACAAATGCCTTCAAGTACCAGAGAAAATAGGTTTGCAGTAGCAGAACTGGAGTGAGAGAAGACTCTGCACAAGACAAGACGTATATTAATATTTACACATATACATACATACCTATCTATCTATATTTCCATATGGATAGATACCCAACTATTCCCTTCCTCCTCAGCCTGCAGGGTGACAGTGACTTACCTGGAAACAGGCTCCAGGAAAATGTAGGCGAATGGCTTCTTCTCACAGCTCACAGGATGGTGGGGAACGCTTAGCAAAGTCATAACCTCTTTCTTCCCACTCTGCCAGGTAACACATACTGCACCCAGGTTTGTGGTTTCAGGATTTGCAGGCTCTGGAAGTAAATGAGCAGCTGGTATTTCAACCATGGTTACTGCACTGGGATAGCTCACCTGTGCCAGGCCTGCGAATCCAAGTCAAGCCTATGCTTTGTTCTGTTTGTTTAATAATTAGGAAAACAGAGGAGGTGGTAATCTGTGTGTCCTGTGGTACAGGATTAATAACTCTCTGTAAGCTTCTTCCATTCTTTATTTTTTTTTTTTCATTTCATCACGTGCTCTATTAGGTTTGTTTCTACACATGACCAGTTCCTGTATCGAACATTGTCATACCATCATATTCACCCTCATTTGTCACTCTCACTTGTACTTAATTTAAGTGTTTTCACATCCTAGTATAATATATTAGCATAGATAGAGTACATATGGATATGTACCTATCTATGTATAGGTGTGTGTGTGCATGTGTCTGTGTATATGCTTTCATTTAGTGTATATATATGTGTTTACATGTAAGAAATATTATACAAGCAGACATTTACAGAGTTTTAAGCATACTACCCTTAATTAATTGAAAAATTGAAAGGCAAAGATTTTATAGCAGAAATATACAGCATTTCTATGCCTTTTTGAAATTCCCAATCGACTTAAGTGTAGTAAAACCAAATTGGTTTTATTTTTCCRTGATAGACCAATATACCATGAACTGTGTTCCACTGGTGTGTGATGGCAATTTTCATGAGTTATAAAGGTTCCTTCAGTAGTAATCTTTACATAGCAGAAATAAAATCTAACCTCTGGTAAATGAGTTTCTACATAAAATACGAAACAGGAAAAGAGTTAAATTTCAACAAGACTGGTTTAGATGAGAAGTGCTGTGTGACTGGTTCAACTTTTCTGGTAATTATGACACTAAGACCAAAAAAACTGTATATAAAAAAAAAATCTTCAACTCAGAAATGATTATAATTCCAAGAAACACAAGTCTAATTTAAAAGAAATGGCCTGTTTTGTCCAGCATAGCTGTGCATTTCTATATTTGCTCTAATTTTGCTCTGCCACAGGAGACTCTCTTTGCTCATTCTCCTCTCTCCACTGGCCCTTACTCCTCCAACAAAAGAGCTACTGGTGTTTGGACTCCACAAGTCCTCATGTGTTGTATGATACACACACTTTGCCTCCCTGCAGAGAGAGAGCATTCAGACATTCTCCATGGCTTTTTGAGAGGCCAGAATAATCCGCTTGGATCAGAGTTTTGCACGTGTTTTCCCATGATGTAGCTGCACAGCACAAGGCAGGGCTGTTCATGTAAGCATAGACATCAGAAACATATAGATGTGTTAGTACACATCTATTTGACTGCTATTCAGTTGCTATTGACTATTCAATTGCTTCTTCTCTCAGTATCATTTTTAATTCCAAAATCTCATTGACTTTCATGGGAGACAGTGCTATGTTTGAACATGTGCCAGAACCATTCGTTTCCGACAAGCTGCCTCCCYGTAAAATATCAGGCTATGCACAGGAGATGACACATTACTGCTTGACATTATTGATCGATCCCCACAGTCTCTTGTTCTAGCATTGTAGAAAATGAAATTTAAAAATAAGCTTCTTCTCTGCCCTATTTTGCTAGGAAAGAGATAAAACTAGTTTGTACAMACAGCCAAGTCGATACCTATAAAAAACATGCGTTGGGCCACCATATGTGTTTTGTTTGTGCTTGCAGCTGTTTGTGTTTTCAGAACTTCCTTCTCAAGTTTCTGTTCTGAAAAACAAAGAGCTGCCCTCTGTGTAGTACATCTGTGAAGCACTCATGGTTGAATGCTGGTGCCATTCAAATYTCACAGTGTCTGCGTTCACTGATCAGGTTCCCCTCATAGTTTCATCTTCTACCACCACAGAGATTCTTGCAGGAACTGTACACAATGTGCCAAATAATGGATGTCAGTGTGAACAAAAACTTACATATCTTTCAGGATATCTGGAGAGATAGGTTTAGAGAGTTTAGTAAGTTCAGGTAAGTGTGTTATGAAGGGAGAGAAACATGCTCAGATAATTGACATTTTCTTCTCTCTCTGCATATCAGTATGGTCTGTCGGAGAAGCAGCTCCAGAAGAGACAGAAAAACGTGATGACTCCCAGAGATCCACTTTATTCGTTGAGAAACCTCAGAGTGGTTCAGTGAGTGTAGGTAAGTGCTTAGAAACAAAATCAAAGGCTGCCTGCAGAAAGGCAGAGATTGAGATAGGGACTGGAAAGACATGTGCAGTTCATATAACATTCAGATTCCTCCCTCATTGRTGAATAATTCTGCTGATTTCAGTTGGACATGAACCCTAGTCTTCAATGGCAAAACAGGATGTACCAAGATAGATTCAAAACAAACTTGAGAGCTAGTAGTTTACTAAGAGCAAAACCCAAGAGAGTTCCTGCAGAAGGTGAATACTGTGTTGATATTAGCTGTAATGTTACTGATGCCTCTGGAAGGTCTACCCAGTGGACTGCAGTCTAGTGGAGAGATTCCCAGACTGTTCTTGTGTGCTCTGCAGCTATGTGTAAATTAGTGAGTAGACTCAGAAGAGCAGGTCCCTAGAGGGAGCCAGTTGGTAACAAGGATTTGTCCCCAACACCAGAAGCATTCTGGAGGCTGTAGAGTGATCTAAATATCTATTAGCACAACTGGTAACTCTAGGAGTGCATCCTTTGTTTTATTTCCACCTGGAATCTTTCAATCCTCGAGGAATACAGTTCARTACCCCTGTCTGTGATGTAAAACACAGAACAGTAAAGGGGGACAGTTTTGAGGTTCATTTCAAAACTGCACTCCTGTGCCAGATTATAATGTTATTGTAGCTGTACCCTAAGAACTGCATCTTAATCAGCCCAGCAGCAATGCTAGAGGTAGCAGTAAATGAAACTTGTACAAACATAACTGAGTTATGTTTTCTCTTTTTAAAAGGCGGGAATATTACATTTATAGCCAAAGTAGAAGCCAAAGATCTTCTGCGAAAGCCAAATGTTAAGTGGTTTAAAGGGAAATGGATGGACCTGGCCAGCAAAGCGGGGAAGCACTTGCAGCTGAAGGAGTCATTTGAGCGCCACACAAAGGTGTGTCTTTCCTTTTCCTTCTTCAAGAGGCAAACCTATGACTGCCACATGAAGTTTTCAAGGATGCTCTCAGATYCTGAGCAGACTATTCTGCTTTGCCAATGCAAGCAAAGCAGTAATGTGGAAATGGAAATACTAAGTTGCTACTTGTGGGTTGCTTTTTTTTTTCCAGAGACCTTTATTCAAGTTATTCCTGTCTTAGGTCTGAAAGAACAAATTTGCAGCAAATCTGATTTGTGCTTTGTAGAAAAGTATCATCTAAGTTAATGAATAAATATATTGTTTTTTTAGATTCACACATTTGAGATGCATATCATTCAAGCTAAAGAGAACTATGCAGGGAATTACCGCTGTGAAGTATCTTATAAGGACAAGTTTGATAGTTGCTCTTTTGACCTTGAAGTCACAGGTAAGTTTGAATTGGTGCCTAGCTTTATAAAGATTCCT